TGAACGTTCGATAACCTTGAAGGGGCCATCATAACAGGGTTGGAGAGGTTTCGTCGTTGCGTCATGTCGGACAAATACAAAAGATGTAGAAGAGAGATCGCCTGAGATGTGCTCTTTTCGCCTTGATCGTCCGGTCGGTGTCGCACAAAGTTCGGACATGTGTTGTTTTAGACGGGAGACGAATGTAACGGGTGATTCGGGCTGTGCGCCAGAGTGGGAAACTAGTTCACCGGGTAGACGTAATGAATTAGGATTTTGTAGGTGGGTTCCTAATTCGTTCGTAGTAGTTTGGTATTTACTGGCTGTTGTGGTGGTCGAAGCAGTTCAGCACATTCTTCGTTCATGACCAACCTGGTGATCACGCTGTACATTTGCACGCTTCCCATAAAGTGATTTTCACCAGCGTTTCACGAAATACAGGCCAAAGCTAAAAGCATCACCACTGATCGCTGCAGTCGAAGCACTGCGTCATGTAATGCATGCGTCATGATAGTGTGGGGTACGATCCGTTCGGGCTGTCCAAGTTAAATTACATAAAAATTACTGTTCGACTAGGATACGAAGCTTGCACTATCTGTAAATATCAGACACTGAAAATTATGTCACTCCATTCTGCTACCCTTTGGTGGCCATTTACCTGCATGATGCCTCGGTGATAGTGTCTTTTTCCAAAACAGGTTTCTTGTTGCGCAAATCCACCGTCAACACTGTTGGTTGCTCCTGTGGATCGCCTGTGATCAGCGGTTATTCTACCAATTTGTTATGGCTACTTGTGAGCAGCATGACGTACTGCCCTGGTATCAAACTGTGGATCCTTCCCGTGCGCGACGAGCGCGCTACCTGCCAAACCGATTGTTCCGACTACTCAGTTTTTACAGTGTGACTGTATTGCATCTTGTTCGACAATTTTTCGATTTTGTTTTAAACGGACCCAGGCGCACACTCCGATTTGAAACGTGACACGTGCCACTGCGTCATCCGTCAGCTAGAGGCTGCAGGCAGATCTAATTTGTGTCAAGTACACCCATTTTCCAGACAATTTGCTCTACCTCCAGAGTGTGCTAACTCTCATCTGTGCCATTATCTCTGTGTACGGCCTATTTTAGTGTCTGATTGGTCGTATCTGAAAATTTGATTATCATTTGGTACTTGCTCGCTTGTGCTTTCAGAAACCCTTGCCACCTACCCTCCCCTTTTTCTACCCCTGCGGACTGCGCTATTGGTGATTGTACGTGCTGTTTCATTGATGACGTCCATCAACCCATTCCTTTGTAGAACTAGTTGTCAATTTAGCATCAACTGCTCACAACTGTCTGCCTACTCAACACGAAATGCGTATAGCCGCGTGGCCCCAATCATCCCGCTAGCCTCTCCGATGTTTGTGAGTACCTAACCATGCCACCAAATTTAATTACCCCGTTGACATAACCTCACAAATCCCGCCTGTTGAATCTAAATTGACCTTATCATATTTCCCCCATTAATTTGCTTTCTCCGACTATGTACTTTTGTTGTCTTGCTGATCCATACCCGCAACTCACTTTGCCGCATAGGCCGTTCTGTCCGGCACTTGGGTACTGGCATTTGTGTCTGTCTGTGAAATTGCGCAGACGACCTACTTAACCATGTCCCGTTTGCTGAGCTTTCTTTGACTTGTTTTCTCACGACTTACATGTGACCGCACGTCCAACGATAATCATGAGACTGTTGTCGGAAGGGACGGCAGCTATCCACTCCAATGAGCCATTATTCCGCTCGCCATTGTTTTGAGTGCGGAGGCTGACTGAATTGTGCCGGTGTGTGACAGATCTGTGAACTTGTTGACACTAAAAACGTGAACAAGTTAGGTTTGTTGTACCTATTTGCTTACCCTCGTGGAAATAGCACTGTAGAACTACGAACCCAACTCTTCCTTTTGATGCTCAGGATTGTCGAACCCACACGTCACTCAAGGATATTTATCGGGAAGAAACACCACCACCTGTGTCTCAGTGGCCACCCGGGTACTTGTCTTTACCTGCACTTATTTACGAGGTTATGAATGATAGATTCTGAATGGTGATTTATGACTCGTCATCTAAAATTAGTTGGAAATTTTGTCCGCCCTTAACCAGATCACCTAGTCGGGAGGCTAGAAGATCTGCAGCTTGTAGCTACCAGTCACACCCACACACTTGACTGTTCAGCTCGCAGTCGCTCACTGGATCACGAGGCTTGTCTTTTTTCATACCCACAAACCGCGTCACATCAAGGCGACTCATCGAACGTCGATTGTCTGTACTGTCTAGTGAGCGTAGCAACAACTCATGCGCTGACACACCCACGTACACGCAAACGGGGCTACGCACAGGGAAACCGAACACAGTCAACAAACACAGACCCGCGCGCGCGCAGGGAGCAGGAAGTCAACTGCTCTCCACAAGTCCACGGACAATCATGGAACACGTGTAGCAGCCACACTGCGGAGAAAGCACGTTCCCGCCGTCCCGACTTTCATCACGGGACTCTCACATACGATAAGTTCCTTTTGACTTGCTCCACATTTTACATTGCTTTTATTTTATGCATGCTGCAAACCGCCTTTGTAAACTACTGTCAACCACAATAAGGACCTTTATTAGTGCATACACCTTCGGAATTGTGTTATGGCGATCCTCACCTGTGCATTATAAGCTTTCCCGGGTCACGAGCTGAATAGCATTAAATACACTGAGCACGTGGTAGGTGATTGATTAGATCTGACTGATCCTATGAAAACAGATTTATCTGAGAGTTTGAAGCGGACAGACAGAAATATCTCACTTTACTAGGTAGACCTCAACTTTGGTTTTGGCGAAACGACTGTTTCCGAAGTAAATATGTGTCTATTTCGGCTCCCTTGTGTCTGGATATTTCACTAAACGAACGTCTAGTGTATCGCTCAAAGTTTCCAGTCTAGGTGTCTCCGCCAATTAGTGAGAAGCCCACATATGTGCGCAGTGTTGCTTGTTCTCAATGAGTATGAAACGGTTCATCGGCTTCTGAACATGGGCTAGCCTTACTGGCTGGACGAAATATCATGTAAATACTGCCAAATCTCCTTAACCAACCATTAAATCCCAGTTTTCTAAATGATTCCATTATCGCTTGTCTCAAATAGCATATTTGGGGATGTGGCGGGGTGATAGGAAATGTGTTCAATTGCTCCAATTCCATACAGTTCATATAGATAGATAGAAAATGTTCAACAGTGGTGAGAGGAAGGATAGTTGGGAGTACCATGACAACCATGAGGAGTTTTTCTCCCCGAAAAATCAGTTGATGGGTTGCAGGTATTTGGATGGGACATAACCCGCCCGTTTTGGCGATAAGGTGCGCACTCTAGACCAGTCTGTATTTCCAGTGGCGTCTCGATCATCCAGAAGGACGACCAATTGTCCTGCTTTTAAGGACAGTTCATTAGAGTTTCTGGCCGTGAATGGATATGCAGCTCGATGCGTCGCTTCATGACGACTGGAATGAGAAAGCTTTCGCGAATGAGGAGACACCGGTCTCGCGAAAAATCCTATGGTAGGCGACTGATTGCTGGAGCTGGGCGAAGTATTGGTGGATGACTGAAAAATAAACAAAGTCCAGAGAATGTGTCACAAAAACCGCTATACATGTTGTATAGCTCACTAAAATGTAAAGACAATTTGTTCTGTAACGTGACTAATGTTGATTGAAAAATCATTATGCATTGCCCTTCCAAAATATCACCCACCTCTTTTTACGATGCATCTTGTAACGTTAGTTTTCCGATGACCTTGTTCTTCTTGGCGCCACATCCAAAAGTGATCAGCAAATAAATGGTCTTTTCGGAAATTCTGGGGCTACTTGACAGCACATGCACTCACTCTTGTACGTTCTGTACTACTGATACCCAGCATTGTCTTAGCTGCTGACAAACACAAAATAGCGGGCACTTGGAATTTTACGGTACCCCCTGCATCAGGAGATGCTCAAGGACGAATCGACTTGGTTTGCGTTGGAAACTCTGCCTTGCTTTCGAATCTCATGCATTAATTACCCATCCTTCTTAACAATAATCAGGACCATATTTTGTAAAATAGCACTTCAAAATCAGGTCAATAAACAACGAGACATGGAGAAATGGAAAAAGAAGTGAGAAAAACTACTCACATTGTAACCCTCACAGGTGTAAGATTGAACGCTATATCGTCCGTTGGGAACTGTGAGGTAATGCGCGGTGTCTGTCTTCTCGCGTTTACGCAGTACGGCTTTCTCGAGGTTGTTTTTGAGGGCTTCAATCACTTCCGCACGAATTTCTGGTAAGTCATGAATTGAGAAGAAATGACATTTGACACAAAAATGCATATTTCGGTCGGTCAGATATAAACGAATTTCAAAGAGGTTTCTCTGATACTCTTTAGCATGCCGCTAGATCGTCAATAATACTTGAGAGCCGTTTGTGAGACTTTGCAGTGTCTAAATGATGTCTAATGATCGACTGCCACAGACTAGTAACAACTGTCAAGACGTGTGGGAAAGTTGTTTACAGGATTCCGGCACCCGTTGCCCATGGCATTATAGAAGCAGACTACACCCGGAAACCTGAAGATTCCCCTAAATATAGTGATTCCAGCTAGTCTGTTCAACTGCACGGTATGCAGGTTTTGATCAGTAGGTATGCAGACGGAGTGGTGTAGATTATGAAGAACACAATAATAAACTGACTTCCAAAAAAATTTGTCAGTACTCTCAACTTCAGCTACTGTACTGCATTTATACGGTGAACACTTTTGTATAAACTTAGGTGAAGACATAGAAACGAAAAACGTCGCATCATTCGCAACTCCGCTTCAAATCGAAACAGACGATACAGGGCATGGCATGGAGTTGTCCAGTCTTCCTTCGTTAGAACCAGAACAGTGTATCTTCATATCTGTCTATCGTATGGTATTACAATGAGCTAGAGAAGGTTGTACAGAAGAGAATCAGAATTTATCTTTCATTTACAGACGAAGATCAAGCTACCCGCGAATACTCCAAGTTACCCTAAAAAATTTCGTGGCTTCTCGATTTTTATCGAGAGATAGGCTGTTGGGCGACGAGCACTTATCTTTTTCCTAAAAAACCTTCGGTGAAAGTCACTCCATTTATTGGTTCGGTCTAAGTGATTTACAAGTCAGGCAACGTGATTGCTTGCTAGGATGTGGATTCGAGAGACACAGGAGTTTGAACTTGATTTAAGACAGGCAATTATCGCAAGGGGAATTCCTATCCATCCTGAGACTGGTATTTGTCAGATGTTTCTCACTGCATCCTTAGCAGGATGTGCCGGAATCAATCGCGTCACTTTTCACTGGTTTCCACACATTTAGTTGTCTATCGATCAAACTAGGGTGATTTCTCATGCTACAAACGTGCCAACAACTTAAAGTATTTGAGAGAAGATCCTAGTGTACCGTAGTCATTCATTTACTACTCTCCTCTTTCTCTTCAAACGACATTGGTGTGGTTAGGTCAAATGTAGACAAATGTCGCCTTCTTATTGCAGAATTCGGGACTGGAAAAACAGGCAAAAACTCACGAGCATGCCATAATAGGTCGTATTATTATTTTTATGCAATCGAAAATTCTCGCGTCACTTGAATGGCGTCTGTACTGCTGCCCTAGAGCACATCGATGCGCGGCTTAGTGGCACTTGGCTCCAATTTCACAGGGCCTTACAGCTTACACTGACTATTCGATGTGCTGACTTTGTACTCGTCTTATCCACTATTTTTCTGTGAAAACCACACCGGTGCACAATCCTCTGCGCAAAGACTACCAGAAAAAATGGACTTCTGATACAAGGTAAACCTGAAGTGAGGCCAGCTATACCTATCAGACCGGTGGAGACCAGGAGAGTTATGGATGCCTAGGTGTTTTAGCTTAGAGTTGTACCCCACCTTTTATCCTCACTCAAGTTAAAAACACGAAGGGAACACATTAGAAAATAACTGGATGAGTGCGAGTAAAGTTATTTGGAAAAAGAGGTAAACCCTCGGAACAAGGCTAGTTAGATGGACAGAAATCATCACAATGAAATTTGGTGGCATAACATCCCCAAATCAACAAGCAGGGTTTTCACATAGAGCCGCTTTAGGTGATTAATTTTGGGAAAGAAAAATTAGCCTGTCCCATGAGAGGAGTTGCAACACCCAGATTGAATTTTTGCCACAATACATTGAGAAAGCATACAGTAAGCATGTTGGCTATGTCCACATAATTTTCAAACTGGCTATGTATTCAGGCTGTATACTCAAACTGCATACTCAAGCACGAGACCATAATCATGTTAGCAGCTGGTCGCGTCAGCGAAACTGGTCAATTTCTATGGAAGCAGTCGAAAGTTGTCCCCCGGATAAATTCAGAGCATGCAGTTATCATAAACCAGTGGCCACCAATCCCAAGGAGCGATTAGTTCATCGGGAATTTCACAACTACCCGCTTTCAAGTGAATTTCATAGGTGGATAAATTTACAACCACTACTGTCGACGCTAAACAACAGTGTAATCACCCAGTACCGTCTCTGAAATGCTGTAATTGTTTCCGATCCAACACGTTTCCCAAGAGTACCTAGGATGTTTGTTCATATATAAGTATCCAATCGCTTTGTCCGGGCAGATCTTGGACAGGTAAAACTGACATATTAAGACGCTGTCCACAGGGTCAAAAGATTGTATTGGCAGATATCCCATCCATGGATGTAAGACATACAGAAGTGACTGAAGTGCCGTCAGACCATATGGATCTATTTCAGGTTTGAACTATCAAGTAAGTGTCTAAACGGAATTGCTAACAGTTTTCATAATGTGGCCTTCGTGTTTGTATAGACAAATTTATTCAGTTTTCAATTAGCTTGTGAGCCCTGTTACCGAGGGAGTTGATTAGACATTTCTATGTGCGTTGATATAATTTGTTCATTAAATGACTCAAGTTTCATAAACTTAGAACCTCCTCTCTCTCAGGGACAAATAGAAAAACTATCACTCTTTTTAATAAATGTGTTGGTTAAAATCGGAGTGGTTTTTGCACATGCATTGTGAGTTATAAGGTATATATGATCCGGATTTCCAAACTTCCCGGATGCAAGGTGTCAATAATGGTCAGCTACTTGCATCTGTTTAGTTTTGAATGTTGGACAAGTCTGTAACTTGTTTTCTGCGACCTAGAAGATGCGCTTCCCGTCCACAGTTGAATAGTTTTTGGGAAGTGCTGCGTCTTCTGGTTCGAGTGACTTACTTTTTGGGTTCACTTAGTATCGAGCCACTGATCCCTTCAAAGTTAAAGATCTTTCAGAAATAACTGCCAAATATGAGCGAATAAGATTTTTTTTTACAGTATTCACATAATAGGCGGCGGATGCAAGGTGTCAATAATGGTCAGCTACTTGCATCTGTTTAGTTTTGAATGTTGGACAAGTCTGTAACTTGTTTTCTGCGACCTAGAAGATGCGCTTCCCGTCCACAGTTGAATAGTTTTTGGGAAGTGCTGCGTCTTCTGGTTCGAGTGACTTACTTTTTGGGTTCACTTAGTATCGAGCCACTGATCCCTTCAAAGTTAAAGATCTTTCAGAAATAACTGCCAAATATGAGCGAATAAGATTTTTTTTTACAGTATTCACACTAATAGGCGGCGTAGAGACCATGTTGAGCGATTAATCGTGTATGAAGTCGACCGACTGTATGTTGAACATCCGAAGCAGCTGTTCTGGTGACAAACGCATGTAATATCTGTGCAGTGTGTGTTGAATTCGAGGTCACCTTCAACCAACGTGAGGGTGGCTGTTTGGCTGCCATAATGTTTAGAAAATCGCATGCTTTTTACCAAAGTCGCACAATAGTCACTGGGCGAACTAACTGAATGAATAAACTGAACAAATATTACTGGGCTGGATGGAATGCCTGTTGAGTGGGGTGGGATAATGAGAATAGTGTCAAAGGAGCGCGAACATTCAAAAGAAGCAGGAACTTGTTGGCAACGCGGTACGTACCGGAGGATTTAGACTGGTTGCTTCTGGAATGGGTGGGTGTTGGAATGGACGATGATAACTTCTTGGTAACACCAGGCCCAACTCGTTGCGCAATTTCATCGACAAACTGAAGAAAATCATCTGTGGTCATTTGGGATTCATGGTAAGAAGACATTCTTCTCTGTGAGGGGGATTAAAAATCAGAGACGGGAGTTCTGATGATGCTGGTAAATTGTGACCGGTTCGGAAATGGTTCTAGAATCCTATTGGTTGTTTGCCTGCTTACGGAGTACTTGTGTGAAGCTGGTACCAGACAAGGCTCTTTTGTCAAAAGGCTTATGAAAACCAATGCTGATGAAAGTATTCCTACCAAATGGGAATAGTATGTGTAAATGTTATAAAAAGATTTTTTCAAACTAGCTTCCAACATGGAACTTTGCAGTTCATGGTGAGAAATGAAACATTCTGATTTTAATAAAGTATTATTAGATTACATTTGGTGTAATTTTCGTTATAAAATAAAGTGAAAAATGATTCAATAAGCCATCTACTTGTATATTATAACATATATTATATTATTATAATTATAATATTGTATTATAATAGACTGGTAAATGAATTCGTATCACAACCGGCTCCAGCGCTGAGGATGACCAGAGGTAATGCGACCACATACCTCATTTTGTACGTATTCTATTTAAGCAGACACATTGAAGAGCAACGTTCTTTCACGATCTTTTTCTATGGTTATTACCTTTCGGACAATTTCACACTTTTAAAAAGAGAAAACAGCTGTCTACTTGACTGTCAACTGGCCAAAAGTTATTACTTTCTTACCGATGGTGGACAAAGATAAGCTGATCGTCTGATGAGAACTCTGTTCGCCTGCGCTTATTGCAACGGTTCTAGCCATCATCAGTTTCGGTGGATCACACAGATCCAAGTAAAACAAATCAGGCGCTATGTGAACGTTGGTAACGTAGTTAGTATTGGTCGAGTCAGATTCGATGGCGTTCTTAAGTGTTCTGATAATTCTGATGACAATTTAAAGCCCCGAGCAGCTGTGTCACAGCCAAGCTAAGTACACATGTTGGACGCTCTGCGGGTACCTTTAGATGGTTGAAATGCTTAGAGTCTGAGCCAACAACTTTTTTCTGCACGGAGTGCAGATTCCATGGGGAATCAACCATTCTACCGGTGTAACGGTGATACTATGATGGGGAGACTGGTGAGGCCTGCGAGTAATGTCTTCCCGTTAATCCACTTCGCTTCTCCCGAAAAGTGAGATCTGTTGCGGAATTTGTAGAGTCGCTTTGTAACACCTGCTTGGATTCGAGCAATGAATGACTACAGTCAATGAATATCCAGAAAAGTTCAAGAAGCCGCGTTCAGGAAAAGATGGATGTTCAGTTTTTGTAAATAAGATGCAAAAGAGAGTTTTGCTTCCCTGTCCAATAGTCTGTGTAACCGGTCCAATAAATAGCTCCGCAGCGGAGGCCTTCTCTCTTTCACCGGTAAACAAAGTAAAGAGAACGTGTACTTTGGAGGTATGGTGCAAAAGTGAACCTATTAGCAAGAGTTCTGTGTGATGCCAGTGTGACGTCAAACGAGTTGATTTAATCACAGACACCATTTGTCCTTTTCATGAACAACTCTGTACTGTGGAAAGAAAAGCCGTATTGCAACACTTGTGCGTATGCTAATCACAGATTCTAGTTTGACGCGCAAAAATATCCTGTTTCCCATACTTTAGAATGCGTCTCAAAAAAGAGTCACAATTTATGTGCCCAGCTTTTCCCCACGTAAATAAGTTGTATGGAACGCAACTACAGGTGATGTAAGGCTTATTGGCCGTATGTTAGCATACGGAATAGAAATGGAAGTCAGTTTGAGCATCATCTGAGCGGCCCACAAGGAGGACTTCAATTATGCCATTGACGGAGGAACTTTATATGAAGAGTTCTTTGGATTTGAAAAGGAATGAATATTTTCATCAAACAGCTTCCCGAATGGCGGGAGGGCGATTCCATGGTACAGATCCATTTCGTTGACGATCAGTTATATCAACATGTGTGATGATGGTTGGTTGGTTCCGAATTGAGCAATGAGCAGTGCAACTCGACTTCCCAAATTGTGGTTACGGTGGAGCGTAATTGATCAAGAGAGAGGGGGAAAAGCGTCCGCGCAAAAGCCTTCGTTAGTATGAAAAGATGACAGAGACTGCTGGAAGTAAACAGGAAAGAGCCTGGCTACTATCTTTGTAATGTACTACTATACTACTGAAGATCCGTCGACAGCCCACGACCGGTTTCGCCCTTCTTGGGGCTCGTCGGGCAGGCGCAGTCCCCGAGTTTCCGTCAACCTTATGTTCTACTTGAAACCAAATTGCACGAGATTAGCGAATATACACTCATCTGCAAACTTATTGGGTTCTTTCGAGAGACTCACCTGGAACGCAGCTGAATCTCTCGTTTGTGATGTTTTCAG